ACAGAATCTACTGCTGATTCGGTTGAAGAGTGTTTATCGCAATGGGCCGGTGCAGTGGAAGCCGCAGTGGACAGTGCATTGAAATCTAGTGGGGATCCAGACGGAGCCGATCACCTGCCTGCCGTGTACCGTGGAAGATGTCAGAGGCCCGTCTTCAGGCAAATACAGCCGGCACCATTGCCAAAGTTCTCAAATAATAGGACTTATGACCCGCTTGTGGATCTTGTGTCGTTCACAGCTGTTCACAAAACTCGGCAGCTTCCGGTGCACCTGTGCACCATGACCAGCTGCGACACCTGTGGAATGCCATCAGGACTGCTAAAGGTTATACACCCGACTTTCCGACCTGGATCCAACAGTGCACAGGTGTGTGGTACTTGGATTGCATCAACTTGGAAGCCCTCCGATGGGTAGATCAAGTCATCTTGCACTGTCGAACTGACTGTGATCAGTTTGCTTGCCAGAGTCGCACCCTGCGTACAAAAGATTTCAGGACGAAGCTCGAGGTGGATTGGGGCCAGCATGGAGGCAGATTCACGGCCTTGCTCTTACGTAAGCCTGCCTTTGCAGCGGCCAACCATATGACCACTACTGTTTGCTATATGTGTACACGTTTGAGAGCCACTGCCAAAAAGGAACCCCGCATACTTGTTGCCGAGTGTAAGCTTGCTGTGGGTGAAATCCTCATCATTAATGGGGAACGATGCCGAATTCTGCAAAAACCTTCAAACGATGTGTGTGTGTTGGACTTGCTTCCACACACTGGCGCCACATTTAAAGCTTATCACGAAAAATGGTCGGCGTCTGCCGATATTGCTTTCAATAATCTACTCGATGTGTGGCAGCCGGTTTGGCAGCGTGACACACCAGAGGAGAGAGACCAAGACGAACATTGGCCTCACGCATTCCAGCTTATCGATAAATACGCTCCGCTGCTTCCGGAAATAAAGATTCCGACACTTACTGTCCAAGCATGGAAAGAAGCTTTGGCAACTACCAAAAGAAAGACTGCCAAAGGGTGTTGTGGCTTCAGTTGTCCCGAGTTGCTGTCCCTGCCGGATGTTGCCTTGGAGGATCTCTTGCATGTGTTTGAGCGGCTGCAGCAAGGTGCGCATTGGCCTGAGATCCTTGTTACAGCACGCACCATTTTTCTCCAGAAAAACCCTGATGACTTCTCGCCTGAAGGCCGCCGTCCCATCACAGTGTTCTCACTCCTTTTCCGACTTTGGTCTAAAATTGTGAATAAATGCTTGATTAATGAATGGGCCCATCACCTTCCATCGGCTGTATCAGCAGGGATCCCTGGCCGTACCTCAGAAACAGTATGGTGGCTTTCACAAGCCCGCATAGAAAATGCCATCCTGCATAAGCAGGACATGGCTGGCCTAGTCACGGACTTGAAAAAATGTTTCAATTACTTGGCTAGACGACCTCTAGGTGCACTGTTCCGGAGACTAGGTGCACCACCGCATATCGTTGACACTTGGTTACGCGCTCTGAACCAGTCCACACGTGTAATCATTATTCAGGGAGTTGCATCAGAGCCAGTTACCTCCACAACTGGCATTCCCGAAGGTGATCCGCTGGGGATTGCCTCAATTGCAGCGTACGGAGCCCTGTGGTCGTGGCAGATGTCCAGCCTCAACACCACACCCTACGCCTATGCGGATAATCTTGAGTACCATTGTGAACCCCGATTCATCACGCTTGCAGCAGACGCTAATCAGGCATTCCATTGTGCCTGGAGGCAGTATATCTCCTACGCTAAGAGTTGGTCCTGGGCCACCTCCAAGGCCGGTAGAACTGCCTGGGAGAGATACAATATAGGCCAGCCTGATACCAAAAAATTGCCATTCAAAACTAGTGGTATCGACCTTGGAACTGTGGCTAACTATACTGGCTTTAGGCACACAGAAAATCAGGAAGCAAGGATCAATGAGGGCATCAGGAGAGCCTACACTCTTTCAAGATTCCCACTCTCTACTGAGAATACCGTGAAGGCAATTCATGCCTCCATTCTGCCCCAGGCCTTGCATGGGTGTGAAGGCCTCTTACCCTCTCTTAGAAAACTTTCACATCTTAGGTCTGCCTTTACCGCCTGCTTGATTGATAATAAATCCTGTGCTAATCCCTGGATGTCTTGCACCTGCATGGCATCACGGATATGTGACCCGCTCTACTATGTGGCCACGCGTATTATAAGATTATGCCGCAAGATGTTAGGGACAAATGCCGACGCACTGGCACTAGTCTGGGCAAATGCCCAACATTTGCTCGAAAACCATTCTCATAATTCCAGGGTGCACAGGCCTGGGCCTGCCGCTGCACTTGCTAGATTGTCCGAGCTATTGCACTGCAAACTAAATCCCAGTTTTGTACTTGTCAATCCAGATGGCCTGACCTTGGATTTGACACAGATGAGCAGGCCTGACATTACTGACTTCCTGTTGACCACTTGGAGCCACGTGATTACAACAGAAGCGCTCAAAAGGAAAACCTGGCAAGACATCGACACCGTAGATGTCACACACACTGCGTTTCTTTTACAAGCACTCAGTGACAAACAAAGAGCCTTGGTAAAACGGCATTTGACCGGAGCATTTCAGAACCCAGTTATGCAAATACACTGGAAACCCAAAGCAGAGGTTACTTGCATACTGTGTGGCGAAGAACAACCAGGTCTCTTGCATGACCAGCTCGACTGCCCAAAGCTAGTGCATGTTCGGGATGCTTGGCAGGATTGGTTGGCGCAACTAGCAGTTGGGCAGCGCCCCTATTTGGCATTTCCGGTAGCGCCCCAGCTCTCAACAGAGCTAGAACTCAGGCTTATAAGGCAGACTACCCCCTTTCCACTGCCTGAGCATCAGACCAACGATGGCCATGTCAGTGTTTGGACTGATGGATCTGCCAACGTAACATTAAATCACGTCCTCAGAGAGGCCACCTGGGCCATCGTGATGGACACGTGCGCCAACGACCAACAGAGAAACCAGAGCATGCGACATTGGAATACAGATTTCCGCCTACCTGACACCTTCAAAGTGGTGCAAGTGGGTTTCGTGCCTGGGCGTCAGACAGTGAACCGTGCAGAACTCTTGGCTGTGTGCTACGCAATTCTCTGTTTCCGACAGGCGCAAAGCCTTCACATATACTGTGATAGTCAGTATGTCGTGGACTTGCTTCCCGCAGTCACACATAAGCCAGAACCCCTTGTCCATTGGCACCGGGATAACTTTGACCTTATCCTTTTCCTTTGTAAGGCTATACAGGGGAGTGACTTCACAATTACCATTCAGAAGATCAAATCTCATCAGAATCCCATTGATCTGGCTACCCTTCTTGATAAATTTAATGCAATTGGGAATCACTGTGCAGACGCAGCTGCCGGTTGCCTAAGAAAAGTAGGTAATCCTCTTACTTGTGAACTTAGGAAGACACTTGATGCTGATTGGAGTGACCGTAATAAGTTCACATGCTGTGCACTTGAATACCTTGCAGACGTGCAGGAAGCCAAGATTAAACAGATAAGGGAAAAAACAATCAGCTCCACTCAAGGGGAAGCCACACAGCCTAACCAAGGGCAGACCCGCAGAGAGAGGCAATTGGATGTCCTCACTATACGAGTGGAAAGCCCCATAGAGTGGCACATTAGTGACTTGCAGGCTAAGCATTGTGAACTCTGCCTATATGGCCACACTTATATGCGCCGTCTCATTGCTTGGGCGCGCACACTCAAATGGGGTCAACCCAAACCCCAATGTATTGGCATCACTTGGTTTGAACTCTATGTTAATTTTCGCCTCGTGACCCAATCGGAAGTGCCCACTAACATCTCCAAAGATTCAAAGAAGCCAAAGTATTGCACACCTGAGCAAAATGCTGACGTGCTCCTACTGAAGCTTAGTGAAAAAGCCATTCGTAGATTGTGGGTAGACTCCATGCGCACTGTGGCTATGCTCTTGCACCAGCCCCTCTTCCCATACCCAGAGGCTACTTGCATCAGATCACTCCAGAAAATATTACCGATTGACTATGGCTCTGGCCTGATCCAACGACCTGAACTCGTCAGATCACAAGAAACAGCTGCTGTTGTTCAGCAGGCTGTCTTGTCTACGTGTAAGCCTGGCCGTTTTGGTGGTGCGGGAAGGCCTGAGATCCCGACACTGGAGCCTGTCGTTAACCTTGAAATGCCAGCAGATGAAAAGCCAGATGTCCTTGCCGCGCTTAGACTCAGAGCTTGGAAGAAGACACAAGACGGGCTTGCACCTCTTGCCCGCATTCAGTAGATTGCTGCGCCTGATGCTTTGTTCTCTTTGGTTCTTGGCCCCCCTGTTTTCTTTTTGGTTCTTTGGGCCTTTCTGGTTCTTGGTCTGGTTGCATCAGGTGCGGTTTTTATTTCCCACTTCCGGTCTTGAATATCTTGACCGGGCCGTTAGTCGGCGTGTGTCACGGATTGAGGGCGCGCGTCATCAAGTTCCAAAAAAAAAAAATACGGATTCAGATTGGGCAGCCAACAAAACTACTCGACGTTCGGTCTCGTCTGCGGCAATTCTCCTTGGAGGAAATTTGCTGTACTCCTCATCGCGCACTCAGCGCACCATTGCCCTATCTTCAGCTGAAGCTGAACTATATTCGGCGACATCAGGTCTTTGCGACACGATTTTGATTCGTTCGTGCTTGCAGTTCATGTTTGACGGTGCAGTTCACATCACACTACACGTTGACAATTGTGCATGTGAACAGATTTTGCGGAGATCAGGCGTAGGCAGAGTGCGTCATTTGGGATGTCGCATCCTCTGGACACAAGCCCTGACGCAAAGCAAGCAAGTCAGTGTTGTTCATGTGAACTCCCAGGAAAACCCCAGCGACTTGGGAACGAAACGTTTGTCAAGAGACCGCATGGAGCTTTTGATGTACATGGTTGGATGTTTTAGCATTTCCACTGGAGAGTTAATTGGTACCCGCCATTGGGAAGCTTTGCAGCAGCAGAAGAACTTCAGGTACTGTGTGAATCGTTTGTATTCAGCCATGGATTCCCGTGGATCGAAGAAGCCCATGCAGCAAATGATCAAGCTTTTCATGATTTCTCAGATGGTAAGCATGACCGACGCCTTGAGCACCGGCGACGGCGACATTGAGCCCAATACCACGCGACCATTTGCATCCCTGCAGATTCATGATTTCACTGGTGCCACTCCGGATTTCTTCCTGGAATATTATGTGATTTTCAGTTTGATATTTACCACAGTAGTGATTTCAGTGTGGACTTTTTCTTGGCTTTCCAAGTGCATAAAGTCAGCGAGACGCCTCATGATGTTTGCTTGGCAGATACATCATGCAGAACCAGACGGAGCTCAACATACAGGTAGTGTGCGTGATGTTCAGGAACAAGTTTCCGCTGACAAAGCAGTGAGAAGACGCAGCAGTGCAGCACCTGCGGCAACTTACTGGAAAGCGACAAAGTTTCCGTTGATTGAGTTTCTTTTGAGACAACATGCGCAGGAAGAACTGGAATCGTGCTTCGTGACCCGTTATGGCAGATTTTACCACCGCTTGGGATGTAAGTGGCTACAGAATCATGCAGCTACTGAGATTTTGCTGTCAGATTTACAGCAACGGCATTTGGCCAGATGCAGGACATGCCATTCTTGCACAGAGACCAATTTGCCTTCTTCTTCTGGTTTGATTGGATGAAGTTGCATGATGCGAAAAATGAAGCCCAGTTTGCGAGGCACAAGCTTTACGTGACCTCAGGGCATGGATGATAATTCGAGAGTCTCAATAGCCATTTTGGCATTTTCACTTCGCATGATTTGACTTGTGCTCATGTCTGATGCTCATTCAGACCTGGAGCCACATGTGTTGTACGATCTGTCTCGCTCGGCCGTGAGCGACACTAGATGTACAAAGGCGGGGTGATTAGGTTTTATGGACACCTAAGCTCCCATGTACACACCACGTGTTTTGCATGAGTTGTACAGTTTGAACTCACCAAACAGTTGCCACATGAAACCATGTGATGAATGCATCCGCTAGGCGTTTGGTTGCAGAAAAATAATCAAGATCGTGTAGGACTTTGGATGCCAAGGCATCCAATTCCACCTTGTGGATTTCCTTGTGCCCAAAAGCAAAAATCTGGCCCACGCACTTCCCATTGTTAAACTTCTTAACACCAAACTTGTTGCCATTCTTGTAGTACTCCTTTCTGTAGTGGAAAGGGCTCTTCTTGCCATGCTCTGGCTGCTTCTTTGTCTTTAGCTTTGGGCTTTTGCGGCTTGAGGAGCTCGAGGAGCATGGCTCTTTTTCCTCTGCGTCTTGGCCTTGCTGCTTGCTTGCAGGCACTGGGGTGTGTGGTGCTTCACTTTGGAGATCTTCTTGCGAACCCTGAGCAGGGCATGGCTCATCCTCAGCAGGCCCTGCCTCACCCTCAGCTGGCCCTGCCTCACTGGTCAGCATGGCAACGAGGGACTTCACTTTGGCAAGTGAACCAGATGATGACTTGGCAACCAGCTGCTGGCACTTCTCTGTGTTGTTCTTTGCCCTCCTCAAGTGGTAGAGCGTGGTAGAGATCCTGTCAAACCTGCTTTGACCCACGTGAGCGGGTCAAAGTGCGCAATGATCTCAAGGGCGCTGGGCACCAGCGCGTCGCCCTCCAGGAGCCGCCGCGGGCGCGTCGTCAGCGCGCGGCTGTATTCCGCGCAGACCGGGCTGGCCATGTCGAAGTGCCCCGGCGGAAACGTAGTGTAGTCCCAGCTCCGGATGTCGCACAGGATCGTGGGCTCAAATTTCGACACGATGTCCAGCGAGACGACTTCCCAGCCCGCCGCCTCGAAGGCCCTGCCCGCCGACTTGGTGCCGCAGAAAAGCTCCAGGAGCCTCGGCATTTTTAGAGAGCAAGATCACCGCCAGTGCGACGACCAAGAAAACTCGCGCGTTCATCTTTTTTCTCCACGAGATAAAAAGCCGAACTTCGCAACCATGAAGCTTGCACTCAGGCTGGAGGTTCAGACCAATGCCAAGGAGAGGAAATTCATGTCCATAGAGGACTCCCATCAGGGCGCGCTGGTGTGCAAGGTTGACGTGGAGGTGCTGTGGGAGCCCGGCAACTTCCAGGACGACGGGGCCAAGAGGGTGCTTTGCGACCAACACCGACAGGCGGACGCGGTTGTGGAGGGTGAGCCCCTGGCAGCTGGCGTAGGTCACTGCGTGGCTCGGCCGGGTGGCTCGCAGCAGCTCCTAGTTCTTCAGCCGCACGCCGTTGTCCAGCCTCACTCCGTCCGCCACGGCCACAAAGACCCCCTTGGGTATCTTTCCGCCGGCCCCAACGAGGCGCAGCCCCGGCCACGCGGGCTGTTTTGTGTTGCAGTTTGGCTACACCCAGTTTGGGTTGGTATAAATTTATCACAACCCAAATCTATGTGGATGACTTGTGTCTCTAGGCGGAGCAGCTTTGAGGTTTGCGGCGCCAGGGCCCGGTTCGCCGCTGCGCTTGCTGTGGCTGATGACCAGCGTGGTGTCCGGCCACCCGGGCTTGGAGGGGTAGAGCTCCTTCAGCCTCGCCTTGGCGAAGTTGAAGATGCGTGATCTCCTCCAACCGCCAGCCAGTCCAGCTTTTGCGCGCTGCCGCCGCGCACGTACCTGCGCGCCCAGTGGTCGGCCGTCTGCGCCCCCAGCCGCAGGTTCTGCGCGGAGCAGTGCGTCTTGGACACCAGGTGCACCGCCTCGCGCTACTCTTGCAGCCTCGCAACAATCGTGGGCCAGGTGGTGCGTCTTTCCGGTGCCCGGCAGGCCCGTGAGCAGCAGGGAGTTGCCCGCCAGGCAGTGGTTGACGGGGTCGTCCACCCCGTTCCACTTCCGTTGTTTGGGGCGCTCCGCCTCCATGCGCGGCGCCCTGCTGCTGCCCAGCAACGGCTTCGTCTCTTCTACGCGGTAGACCGGCGTGCTGTCCGGGTGGCGCAGCGCCTCCAGCGCCCGCAGCCGCTCCGTGAAGCGCTTCGGCAGCCGCTGCGTCAGCAGGCAGTCCGTCTTCACCTGCGCCACGTAGCGCGGCGGCGCGTCCAGGATGCGCCGGGCCTTGGCCACCATGCAGTGCTCAAAGCCCAGGACCGCGTCATGAATGGGGTGGTAGGTGCCGTTGCTCAGCAGCCTCCGGGCGTAGACGAAGTCCCACACCATGCCCCCCTCGTAGGCGAAGGCCTGAAAAAAAGTCCGCGCCTGCGCCGTCCAGCTCGCTGCTGCTGCTGCGCACGCTGTAGACCACCTCCGTGCTGCGCGCCCACAGGCCTATCATCGCGTCACGCCCGTCGTGAACACGTCGTGCAGTTCACGTTGTTGCAGAGCAGCTGGTCGCAGCCCACGTTGCCCTGCGCGGTAAGCCCGTCCAGTGGCCGAGCCCGTGAGGGCCCCCTCCGTCGAGGAACTCGTGCTTCAGCAGCAGGGCCAAGGCCGCCGTGTCCTTCTCGACCGTCGCGTTGCCGGCTCCAGGGTTGCGTCCAGGATCTGGAGGCCGTAGACGTCCGCCGTTCCTGCCTGGAAGTGCGCCCCAAAGTGCAGCTTTGCGATTCCGTTCGGAGGCACGGTGAAGTACATCTTTGCCGTGCTCCAGGCGCCCTGGTCACCCACGAAGCTGCCGTACAGGGGGTCGTGACGTTGTCGGCCTTCGACATGTGCGCCACGAAGTTGGAGGCTGTGCCGAGCCGGTGCCGGCAGGCGAAGAGGAGCTCTCGGCCGGGCAAGTTGTAGGTGCGCGCAATGTTCCAGGGGTTCGCAGCCAGGGTCAGGGTGAAGCCGTCCACGCTCGGATCTGCTCTTTTATGGCGGCCACCGCCTCGTCGTCCTACCAAAACATGAATTGAGGGAAAATATGCTTCAATTCATGGTCCAGGTCATGATACCTATAGCCTAATGCAGAAACTATGCACGGCGTGCATAGTTTCATGGTGCATAGTTTCATGGGTCAAATAAAAGCGTGCTACAGTCTTCTTCAGGGGAGGACTGGAACTTTTTTCCTTCGGGTGGCGCGGGCTCGGCAGGCTGGTGCGCTTGCCGCCACATAGCACGTGCTCGGCTAACAGGAGGAAAATATCCTTCACTTCTGATACCTATAGCCTAATGCAGAAACTATGCACGGCGTGCGTAGTTTCATGGGACAAATAAAAGCGTGCTACTCAGGCGAATGCTTCTCGCACTTGGTGTGCGATGAAGAATGACGAGAATTTCAACATGTCAATCCGACATGTTGAAGCAATTCGGTTCCCGGGACAACGAGGTGGGTGGCTCCGATGCCGGGCAGGTGGCGCGGCCGGGTGGAGGCTTCTATGCCGGGCAGGTGGCGCGGCAGGGCTTCAATGCCGGGCAGGTGGCGCGGCAGGGCTTCAATGCCAGGCTCAATATTGAACCAATTTTGAATCATCTTGAGTCAACAATGGATCAATATTGAATCAATTTTGAATCATTTTGAGTCAACAATGGATCAATATTGACAGGTCCACCTCTCTCTTTAGAGGGAATTTCCCAAATGGATTCTATTCCACCTGGTAGGCTCCTAGCACTCGTCCGTCCAGGAAACGACCTCGTCCTGCGAAGGATTCGAAACCTAAAACGCTGGCGTGCAGGCGTGTGGCTGCAACATAACGACCCCGAGATACGCGCCGCAATTTGGCTCCAGGTTGCATTTCAAGCGAGGTCAAGCTTTGCCAAAAGAAACCCCTTTTCCCCTTTTTTCGGGACCCCTTTTTAAAAAAGGGGACCCCTTGTTTTCTTTTTTCTTTTTTGTTTTTTTCTTGGCCCTGCAAAGGTTGGCTCCGACCTGGGAAGCTGGGCAACATCCCAGCCCCACAGAGCAAAGAGCCGCCTCCGGGCCTAGCCGCCCGTGCCGACCCTCTGTCAGCAAGTGCCAGCGAGGCGGAGCCCGCCAAGGGCGGGGACCCGGTTGCAAAGGCTCTAGGCAAGTTGACCGAGATTGCGGACGCCTGTTGCCATTAGCGTTGGTGATGTTAGTAATGCCTCTAATCTATATATGATGTGTGATGGATTAGTGAATAAGATTATTTTTAATAAACCTGCTGATGTGGTAGGTAATATTTATACGAACGCTGCTGTTAATTGTGACAATGTTAATATTGATACTGATGGTAAATTAACAATTGATACAAATTGTGAACTATACAGATATGTTAGTGCTTTTTCATCTTTTGATATGAGGAATAGTGATGCTAATTCTTCAATTAGATTTATTTGTGGAGATCCTGCCGTAATATAGTTGGAGCAGTTAATATTTCTACCGGATGGACTTTTAACACTTCTACTGCTGATGTAACGGGCAATTTATTTGCTGACGATGTTTATGTGAAAACTGGTGGAGCATTAAGAAGTAATCATATAGCACCTAATGGTGGAACATTAGTAACCGTTGATACTAACTTAGCAGTTCAAGAGGCATATTTAGCAACTAATACCATTCAATCATTTGATTTAACAACGGTTTCGTTTTTGAATAATATTTCAATGACTACTGGAACAGATCTAAGGATGGGATCAAGTGAAATATCAACTTATTACGATGGAACTAGTTTATCTACAATTGATGTAACATTCAGAACATCAAACACAGCGTTTAGAGTTGCTGATAGTTCTACTACCCCTTCTGTTTTATTATCTGTTGATAAGACATTTGGAACAACAGTAAATACTGAAAGTTTTACAAATAATGCTCCATCGACTTTTAATGAAAATGTAACAGTTGTTAATACAAAAACATTATTTGTAAATGATATT